AAAGCCCAGGAAATCCAGGATCACCTTAACAACAGAGAGGCTCAACTGGCTGCTTCTAAGGAGAATGTAAAATCTATTGAGAGTCAACTTGATCCTCTAAAGGTAATTTGCATGGTGATTATGGAGAGGCTTTGGTACAGACATTAATACAAACCAGCACATAAAGAACACAGAAAATGTGAAAGCTGGACAAATTTCTTGATTAAAATCTTACCCTTTTATGTTGTGTTATCTAATCCTTTGCTCTGAAGCAGAATCAAGTGTACCTCAGCAAAGCTGACAGATGCTGGTCTGATTTGTAAACAGTCACTGGAGGCTTGAGAACGTAGTTTGTGGAATTCTTGTAGCAGCCTTGGGGTTTTTTGTAGCTTAATTTAAAATCTGACTTTCTCAGATTTAGCTGGTAACTAAAACTATTATAAACTGTAACTAAACCAAAAACTGAACTAAAATTTAAACCTCCTTGTTTTTAAAAAATACTTTATAAAGATGAAGCTTTTACACTTAGACTGACTATATTGTATAGAATAATTGATTATGGGATTCACAGGCTGGTGAGATATTTTACTTACACTGTTCTTCCCTTGGCAGAGTTCTCTGGAAGCAGTTGAACAGAATCTCATAAAAGTAATGAGGCTAGACAACGATGTAAAGGCCCTGGAGAGTAGGAGGAGGCAGATGGAGAAAGACAATCAGGATTTGCAACAGAAGATGGAAAAGGTGGCCTTTTCAGTTCCCTGCTGCCACCCTTTCTGCTGAAGACTCAGTCTGTCTTTTGCTACCCAGTGAACTAAGTGTCTGTTTTATTGTGCATCAGGTCTTGGTGAAGATTGTTTGTGTAGCTCGCTTGATACTATCAGATATTGCAAGTACGGCTCGGTAAAGCTGTATCAGTTTCTGTGTAATTTGAATTAAATTGCTTTTTGTAATTTTTCCCGCCGTCCTAGACTTGCCAGGAAGGCAAATACTGACAAAAATTTTCATAAAAGTGCTAATTACTGGTAACGCTGCCCTGCAGTCTGTAACTTGAAAATACCTGCCTCTCACTGAGTGTTGGTGATAGCCAGCACTTGGTCTGACCAGTGCAGGGTGTCTCCTGATGTTAATATTATCCATCTCCCTGGAGATTTTTTACTTCTTGCTGTTAAAATAAGAAATAATTGTCAGTCTTCTGTTGTGATTGTGACAAGGCATTTGAAACTATTTTGAAAAACTGAAAGAAATTCCTTAGTGGTAAAAATCTGGATGCATTTGTTTTATCAGCCTAAGGAAAATAGATTTTCTTTTTCCAGTTTTGCTTGTAGCGTATTTAATTTTTCTAAATATATGTCTTGGTACAGAAATACTGTGTGGGAGGTGTTTATGTCTTTTTTTTCTTGAACTCTGTCATGGTAAAACCTGTACTTTTTTAAAACATCATTAGTTGGCTTATAAATGTAGTTAAAAAGCTAACTTTATTCTGTATCGTGTTTGGTGTACAGGTTTTTCAAGGAACTGATGAACAACTAAGGGATAGATACCAGAACCACCAGAGAACAGTGAACGAGAAGGAGAAGAGATTGTCAGACTGCAAGCGTGAATTAGATAGAACCACTAAAGAATGCCAGAGGTTTAACAGTGAGAAATCAGAACTACTTATTGAACGAGGTATTTTAGACTTTCTCTATAACCTTCTGTTTATTTTTTGATGTGATTGAGGTCTGAAATGGAACTACTGGTAAGAATGGAAGGGATTTGGACTGGAAAACCCCCAAAATGTGTGTGAGTTTGGAGTCAGCTGCACGCTATGGTGCAAGACTCTCACAGTGGGTAGGTCTTGGCATTCTCCTGGAGTTTCTGATGTGCCCTTGTTGTTCTGAGCTGTAATTACAACATGTGGTACCTTTGTTCTTAAATGGGCCGTTCTTTATGAAAATATTCCAACTAGATGATTTCTGGTGGCGTAGATCCATGTCGGCCTGGCTTTTTACAACCCAGTTGTTCTCCCTGTCTGAGCTTGTACTTTCTCTAGGTGATGGCAATGCCTGTTAACCCGATGTGATTGTCTGGGTGTGTTTTAACCAAGAAAAACATGAGAGCTGAATGCTGGCGGTGCTCAGTGTCTCAGGTTGGGGCTGGGGCCTGCTGAGAGGTCTCTGGGATAATATTCTTTCATGTATCGTATATTCTCTTTTAGCTGGACTATGGGAATTTCAGTAAAGCTGGAGTAGCTGAGACACAAAATACATGCTTACATAAAATGTTTGGTCTTTGTTTATATTTACCAGATCAATAGTTTTAGTGTTTTAAGAAGCTGCTTTTAAATTCTTGATTTATTTAATCAATAAAAATTTTGTTACCTGAAATAGCCACAGCTTGGTTTTACTCTGGAGCTTTATGTGTAGTTTAAAAATCCTTACGTTTCAAAGACTAAGAAATAGTTGCAACTGACTTGGAACCCTAAATGTATCTTCTGCCTCAGGTTTTGAGTGTTTGTGCCTCGTTTTCTTTTTGTGAAGGTCGTCTTCAGCTGCAAGCAGATCGTCACCAGGAACACATCGCAACGAGGGACTCATTAATTCAGTCTTTGGCAGCGCAGCTGGAACTAGATGGGTTTGAGCGAGCACCTTTTAATGAAAGGCACGTTACCAGCTTTCACAGGTTGCTGAAGGAGAGACAGGACAGAGATACAGAAGCGGCAAATCAGCTGCTGGTAAGAATTTTGTTGTTTTAATAGTGTAGTTAGTGTTGGTTAGTAGTGTGTTACTGGCCCATGTGTGTCTTCGTGGTGCTGGGAGGAAGAAGAGTGTTGTGGGGGGAGAACTGAAGCCGTTTTTGTTCTTCTGGAATTCTTTATTATGGGTTGCCTGAAGCTTTCCATGGAAGTTTTTGGACCTGAGAGTGGTCATGAAGTGATCTGAATTGCCAGAGCTGTTGAACAGGCAGATCTTCAGATTGGTTTTTCCCAGCAGCTCTCTCGTGCAGGTGGGTCACTGACAAGCTGAAAAGCCTGAGGAAGAATTACAGTGAGCAGCTGGTTTAAAAATAAGGAACTTTTTGTGGAAGTCCTCTTCAAAATGGAGTTGCTGTCATAGAACACTGCCGGTGTGATGCATCTGCATTTTCCTATTAAAACTTTTCAGCAGAAAAGTTTTGACAAGTTCTATTTATCTAAGTATTTCAGTGTCTTGTGTTACAGTGGTGAATATTTGCCAGCTGGTGTGAAGATGTGCCTTTAAATGTTGTTTTCCTGTGAAAAAAATGATTATATTACTGCTGACTTCTTTCAGAGAGAATTTGCACGAAAAGAAGCAATGAAACAGAAACAGATAGATGAAATAAGAGACAAGAAAACTGGATTAGAAAGAACCATTGACCTGAAATCGGACATTCAAAATAAGAAACAAGTCGAGCTGAAGAACGTAAAACATGAATTGCAGCAGTTGGAGGGGTTTTCAGACAGAATTCTGGAGTTGGATCAGGAGATTGTCGAGACGGTAGGTTAACGTAATTGAAAAATTTACAGAAGTTTGAAGTAAAAATTTTTTGGCTTTAGCATTAAAAACAAACCAACCCCTTGATGTTTACTCCATCTGCTGCATTTTTGCCCTTTTAAACGCCCTCTCTATGCTTTGTCTGTTTCGATGATGCGCCCTTTGGGGCAGGGACTGTTCTCTCTTTGGTTTTGACCAGTGCGTGCGTAGAATACACTGCTGCTGCTCGGCGAGTTGTAAACAGGGTGATCGCCACAGCTGCTGGTACCATGAGATCAGTGGGTCTTAAATTATTGGGCCAGGAAAATATCATCTGAAGTGCTACACTGCCTACATTTTTCTAGACAACTTGTCTGTGAGATGGACTAGTTGGTTATGAGCGGTTTATCTGATGGAGTATTATAAAGTTATGGGCATTTTATGTCCCAGCTGAACAGCTGGTTATGCCTTTGGAGCCAGGTGTTTTAAGCTTGCTAGTGTGTGTGGATTAAGTGCTTGACAGTGTTTCTTCTAGCTTCTGCACTAGGATAATTCCAAATTTAGTGTCCAGTAGATGCTGAAATACAGAGAATCAAACTAAATCTGTGGTGGGTTTTCCCCACGCCAGCATCGCAACTTTTGTGCACTTTTTCGTGTGTTCTTTACAAATCCTGTATGTGTCATTCCTGTGACGGGTAATGACATTGCTGCCGGGCAGCTTAGGAGCTTGCTTCTGTTCCCTTTAGTTAGGATTTTATTGATTAGTGTAATTATTTAAGTCTCCTGGGCTTTTATTTTTTGTTTAGGAGCATGAGCTGGAGAAGGCTGAGAGGAGCAGCAGTGTAGAAGCACTCGAACTGGAAGTACAAACTCTGCAAAATGAGAAAATAAACCTGGACAAAGCCCTTAGGAAGCTGGACCAAGAGATGGAGCAGTTGAATCTACATACCATGACAATTACCCAAATGGAGATGCTGAAGAAAGACAAAGTAATTTCTCTATCATCATCTCATAAGAGAGGGACATGAAAGTAACGCAATCCCTTCAAGATTTGTGTGGGGTTTGGGTGTTTATCAACAGTCAGATGTAAAGTTTCTGACTTTGTAGAAGCCATTGACTCCATGAGTGCATTGAGTGACTTAAACTGAAAAAAATAATTGAAAATGCTTTGATTCCTCAGGCAGACAAAGAAGAGCAGATTAGAAGAGTCAAATCAAGACATTCTGATGAACTGACATCACTGTTGGGATACTTTCCAAATAAAAAGCAACTTGAAGACTGGCTTCATGATAAAAATAGAAAGATTAATCAGACAAGGGATAGTCTTGCTGATCTTAAGTAGGTATTAATTTTAATTGATTATGTCTCCATAAGTATTTATGTAATTATGAATTTAAAGTTGGAAAGTTTAATACGCTTAACATACTCGTTACTTTAATTCGTTGTTATTTATTTGGGTATCTGCAAAATCAAAGAAAGCATCCTGCAGAATTTGTGTGATGTGTAGGTGATGCAGGTTGTGCTAGGTGATGAAACCACAGCGTTTGTGGGGTGTCAAAGGGAGCACTAAAAGCAGATAGCAAAATGCTGTTTTGGAACATCCTTAATTGTTTGTGCTGATCCCAGGTGAATGAATGTGCTTGGGGAGTGGGAATTGCTGGTCTTGTGACATCCTTGTAAGTCACATGGTGGTTGGTGACTCTATCAGGAGTTCATGTGTGGTTACTGTTCCTGATTTCATGTGATTATACAAAATAATTTATTAGGAGTAGGTCACACCAGCACACGATGCAGTGATACACATAAAACTTCCACAGAACAAAAACCCAACGTCTTAAGTATAAAGACTATTGAATAATTCAAAAGCATGGAACATGAATAGAAGGATGCTAACGTTCTTTGCTTAAGAGGCTCAGTAATATCTCATGGACAGTACTGCTGAAGGGGAAGAAAGTTGATACTGTATTATTCTATAAAGTTTTGTATGGCTGTCGTTAGAAATTAGTTTCTTATCAGTAAGCATCTAGAAAGCAAAACGGAATTAAAATGAAGCACTTTGTGCTGCGCTTAGATTAATAAAAAGTTGATGCTATAGACTTCCTGAAAAATCATTAACGAACCAGTGAACAGCTCTGTAGTATCGATTTCAGATTAACTTCCCGTGGTTTTGCTTTTGCTTTGAAATCTTTGGGTTTTTGTAATACAAGAGCATACGCATTGATGTTTCAGCAAACGGCTGGCCTCGGTAGAATATCATAGAACTTATGTCAGCAATGAGCTAAAAAAAAAAGAAGCACAATTGTCCCTTCACGAAGCAAAACTTTTTGATGTTTGTGGAAGCCAAGATTTTGACAGTGACCTGAACAGACTCCAAGATGAAATTGAAAAAAGCTCAAAACAGCGAGGTAAACTCATGTATAGCTCTACTTTTTTCCCTAAAGCTTGTTTTAAATGTAGGCCACAGATACCGAGACAGTCAGTCCCTTTTGCAGGACAGACAATAGGCACAGGAACTGACTGGAGGGAGAGTGTTGCTCGATCAATTTTCCTTATCTCTGCTACTAAGTCTTTTTTACACCTAGGCAGGATCAGTTGTTTTAATTCTTTCAGTTAATTCTCTTATTCCTGTAGATGAAGTACTCCCTGGCTTGGTGCCTGTGTAGATCACGACCTTCTCGAAGCCAAGGAAACGTTTGGGTGCATGGGTCGGCCGGGGGTGAAGCCCTTACGGAAGCAGCCGCTTGGGGTGGGCTTGGCCCGTAGGGCCTGCTGCTGACTGCAGGGCTGATAAAAGGGACCCATAGCGTGGTTGAGGTTGATGAGGGCTGGAGGAGGTGATTTAGGGCACCCTGCTGAAAGCAGGGCCAGCGTCGAATTCAGACCAGGTCACTTAGGGCCGATTCGGTTTCCTACCTTTGTGGGTTATAATTTTGTCTTCCTTTATGGTAGGTGCCCAGTTTAGAGCTGATGATGTGCTGTTTATTCACCACAAAGTCTTTTGTTTCTTTTTAAACCAGCTGTGCTTGCTGGAGCCACGGCAGTTTACTCGCAGTTCATTACACAGCTGACAGAGGAGAACCAGTCGTGTTGTCCAGTTTGCCAGAGGGTTTTTCAAACAGAGACCGAACTGCAAGATGTCATCAGTGACCTGCAGTCTAAGCTGCGCCTTGCGCCTGACAAACTGAAGTCAACGGAGTCTGAGCTTAAAAGAAAAGAGAAAAAACGTGATGAAATGATGAGTCTTAAACCCCTTAGGTAAAGTACTTGGCAAACTGGATTGTTGCAAGCCGCTGTCTTTCAAATGCTTGGGTTTTGATAATTAAATATTACTCAGACATCAAGGAGGCTTTGCTTTAGGGCTAGTTAATTCGTTAAAAAAATCTCATTGCCGAGATAACTATTTTGCTAGTATCTGCCCGTTTGGACTTTAATATTAAACTATTTTATATTTTTGGTATTTCTGGTCCTTCGGTCCTTCTCATAAGAGCGAGGCAGAAAAAGTGGTTATAGACTTACTTTTCTGCTGATTATTTACACTCTACAGGCACAGTTCCCCTCCTTGTTATTTATCATTGTAATTTAAAATGGACAGGCTGTTTTTGTTGCTACTGAAATGTTTTTCATACTGTGTCACCTTAAATATGTTTCTTAAAAAATGCTGAAATGACAGTAAGGGAACTGAACCTATGTTAAACACCCTTTAATAATATCTTGATTTGTATCTCCTTTAACTGTACCTTTTGTTGCTGGCAGTTTTGTGTGAATTACGACGTTCTAGAAAGGCATTGCTGGGTTTGTAGTGGATTCCCAATGCCATTTATGGTGCCTTGAGGTTCAGTCATGTGTAGTTCCATCGTTTGAGACTGCATCTCTGTCTCTGATATCGATAACCCCTATTAGATTGGGCTGAATTTATTTATTGTAGTTATTTAAAAAACCTTTTTATGTTGTTTGATTTGTTTGGGTGTGGTTTTTTTTTTAATTTGCAAGGTAATACAAAGTGTATTAACAAGGTCTGAAAACGTGCCTCCAATATCTTCCAGTTTCCAGGCTGAATTAGTTTGTATTTTTAAAGCTATGTAAAGCTTTAAAAAGGCTGTTTTGTTGTTGCCTCCCTTTTCTCTTCCTGTTGCCTCCCTCCAGAACATAAACAAGTAACACTAGCCCTAAAGAGGTTTTGTCAGAGTCCTGATTTTTTTTCCTCTCGGCATATAAAGAGCATTTAAGGTGAGAGTAGAGTATGCAGGTTTCCCGGCAGTAGGCGAAGAGACCCTGTTCTCCAGAAATTTGCAGACCGTTCTGAGTTTGGAGAATACACGTTAGAGGGCAGAGCTTTCCTTCACAAGAGGGCACTCTTGCACAGTGGATTTAGACCCTCTCATGGCACTTGCTGTCATGAAGTTAAAATCCAAAAGAGACTTTGCTTGTTTGTTTCATCCCTCCTGTCTAAAATGAGGGATGCATTACCTTAGCTGGGTATACCACATAAGCTGAATCGAACATGGACAAGGTTAAGGGAGACTATTTGGGCTAAATTTAGTCTCCCACTATTAAATCATATCACAGATGTTGTGATATTGAATGCCTTGAACTTATGCTGCTGGTTTTGACAAAGGAAATTTTACGGATTCGTATTTTACTTATTTAAGGCGAACTGTAGTTGAACTCCAAGACAAGGACATACCAGACTTGAGGAACAAGATACAGAATGCAAACAGGGATTTAACGGGCCTGAAGGGTGAGATAGAAGAACAGGAATCGCTTTTGCAGACAGCTTTGTCTCAGGAAAACGGTGCCAAGGCACGTTTACAGGATATAACACTAATGGAAAGGTACCAGGTATGCTTTGGTCATTTCCTTTAATATATAAAATAGTGCTTACTTGCTAGCGTTTGAATATGTAGTTTTTCTGTAATATGACAAAGCTTTGAGGTCTCAAGACTTTTCAAGCATAACATAGGTGATCCTGGTACTAATAAAACTTGGAGTTTATGTAATGATTTTTTCTTTGAGGACCAGAGTCCCCAGAGTTCTGATACAATTCTGTGCTGTAGTAACTGGGAAAAGGGGTATCATCCACAACTTGAGCATGACCACAAGTATACCAGAGTGGTTTTCAGTCCTCACAGTCGTTACAGTTCAGTGTATTCTCAGCATCTACTCTGCGAACTTTCCAAAATCTTGTCGCACGTGCTTCCTTGTTCTGTGCCGTCTGGGTGTGTGGAAAAGGGGAATGGCTGCGCTGCACTTATTGTTGTGACGTAAGAGACTGTTTTCAATGGTCTTCGTGCCTTTAGTACCAACACAAAATCTTTGCTTGACTGAGAACCACGAGAGGGACAGTTATGCAGAGAACCTGGGGCCAGGCAGAGGCCTGAGAGCATTTCACAGGTGGGAGATGGCAGCAGCTCCGGGGGCTCCAGCAGCTCTGTCATTGCAGGGGCAGCTGGCACAGGGCCCTGTT